AATTATGTCTTCTGAGTCCCCACCACTGCCTAACATCCTACTATTGGGTTGTCGGAAAAGTCAAGATGTATTTTTCTCTATGTTTTTCATTGCAAAAATGGGTCATGGCTTTTCTGACAACCCAATGTTTATCCACCCACATCATTTAGTAAACATTTTCGGCTGGAAAAAATAATTGGAAGTACAGAATACACAAGTCAGGAGCATTATTATCTCCTTTACAAAAGTAGTGTTTATGGAAAAAATTCACAAATTAACAGCTCTCTAGAAAGTAACAGGAAGAAAGTTATTGAGCCCAGTTCTGAGCTCTTAACGAGGTCAAATCTAGTGTTCTGAAAATTGTTGTTATCCTGTGAATATTTATGTTCTAAAACAACTGATTAAATTTGTGTCACACAAAAACATTTAACCTTGTTTCAGTGAAGCTTATTTTTCTTTTTATTTTGTTTTCAAATGCTGATCATTATTACACAACTTTTCTATGAGTAAGAGGCCTGTTTCAGAGTGTGCTTTTATGAGACTATTTTTATCAACTATTTTGTCAGCAGAGTTCTTAAGTCACTGACAAAACATCTCCTGTTGGTTAATAACCCACCCTGGCTCTGTAATTTAAGTAGCTTTACTGCTCTAAACAAAGGGTAATCCTTGTGACTAGGATTTACAAATCATTTGCTGACAGTTCCATAGTACCTATCTATAGTTTGGTGTTTTCCCCCAAAATCACCACTTTGCAGTTTACACCTAATACAACAGTCATCCTACACTGATAATTTTTATTACATAGACACTCCCCAAAATAATATGCTCTTTTTCTTTGTTTGAATATACCTTTTCAGCAGTTCTCAATAACAAATTAAGTGGTAGGATTGAAATTACATTCTTATGATACTTGCTATTCAATGGTATTGACATACTTTTAAAATAATCATGTTATAGGGGATAATTTTGAAAAAATATGCTTTGTAATATTATATGTGTGAAATTTAGGAGTATTTACATTAGGACAAAATCATAATTTGAATTTTTTTTTCAAGAAATAGTTCATCCAGAAATAGCAGTTAGAAGATAAATAAGTGATGCAGATCTAATGTATAGCATGATAATTAACAATAGTTAACAATATTGTATTGTACTGTATACTTGAAAGTTGCTAAGAGAGTAAATCTTAAATAGTCTCACCATACACATAAACATGTAGCTATGTGAGGTGATGAATGTGTTAACTAACCTGATTGTAGCAATCATTTCAAAATGCATATGTATATGAAATCATCACATTGTATATTTTTTAATTTAAAATTATTTTAATTTTTATTAAATTTATTGGAGTGACATTGCTTAGTCAAATTATACACAAGGTGTGACCAAATATGGTGAATGTTTAAATAAAATGAAAATTATGACAGTAAAAGAAACATTGCCGTTAATCCCCTTCCAAATACTCCCCCTCACTTCAAACACACTTAATCTGATCGTTCTTGCTGCCTTCTGAAGTAGTTCTGGAAGTTCTCTTTCATGAGTATCTTTATGGCTGCCTTGATGTCCTGCATCATTTTGACTTTGGGGAAGAGCCAGAAGTCGCACAGTGCCAGATCCAGTGAATAAGGTGGACGAGGACACACTATAATGTTTTTATTTGACAGAAATTGCCATACCAGAAGCAACGTGTGACATGACACCTTTTGTACATAGCTGTTAATGGTGTATTTAGGTCCCCTATATAATTGTGTTTCTGTCAGTTTCTCCCTTTAGTTCTGTTAGTAGTTGCTTTATATATTTTGGTGTTCTCTGTTTGGAAGTATATATATATACATATATATATATATATATATATTATATATTATATATATATATGCATATTGATAACTGTGATGTCTTCTTGACCTATTGTACCCATTATAATTATGAAATGTCCATCTTTGTCTTTTGTTACCTTTTTTATCTTGAAGTTTGTTTCTTCAGATACAAGTATGGCTAGACCTGCTTTTCTCTGGATGCCGTTTGCTTAGAGTATCATTTTCCACACTTGCACTTTGAGTCGACATTTGTTTGAATATTTGTGTCCACTCCCTCCTGGCTTGTAGAGTTTCTGCTGAAAACTCTAATGGGCTGACAACCTAATGGGCTTTCCTTTGTAGGTTACCATTTTCTTTTCCCTGGCTGCCTTAAGGGTTCTTTCTTTGTCATTAATTTTTGACAGTTTCAATATAATGTGCCCTGTAGATGGCCTTTTAGGATTGAAATAATCAGGTGTTCTGTTTGCTTCTTGGGTTCAAAGATCCAGTTCATTCCACAGGTTTAGGAAGTTTTTGTTTTTTGTTTATTTTTTTAAAGATTTCATTGAAGAATTGGGGGAGGGGAACACACAAGTTGCTGTCCTTTTGTTCTTCAGTCTAGTTGTGGAGGACATAGCTTCACTGGCCCATGTTGGTATTATCATTGCGCTCTTCCCGGGTGAGGCAGATTGGTCATCAGTCACTGGATGTCTGCTCACGGCGGCTCTTGGCAGCTCATGCCGGCTGCCGGCTACTCACTGTAGCTCATGGCACCCCACTGCAGCCTCACTGCAGTCTACGCTGCCACTGGCAACTCACGGCAGCCCACCTCCAAGTCGAGCTGTTGTTCACCATCTTAGCTGTAGAGGGCGCAGCATCACTGGCCCTCATGTGGGATCTGAACCAGGGCCCTGCTGCTCAGAGCTGGAGTCCCAAACCAGCTCTTAACCAACGTGCCACTTGGCCTGACCAGGAAGTTCTGAACAGACTCTCTGTGCCCTTCTCCCTTTCTTCTACTTCCAGTATACGCATTTTTCTTATGTTGCTCTTTCTGATGGAGTCAGGTAGTTCTTGTAGAGTTCTTTCATTTCTTTTAACTCTCGAGTCTCTTTCTTCTTCCATCTGCATCATTTCCAGATTTCTATCTTCAATATCACTAATTCTTTTCTCCATCTGGTCAGCTCTATTTCCTAAGCTCCCTATTTCATTCTTCATCTCTTTTATTGAGTTCTTTAGCTCCAGAATTTCTATTTTTTTTTATTTCATTCTTTTTGGTAAGCTATTCATTTTTTTCCTTGATTTTATTTCTGAATTCATTAAACTGCTTGAGTTTTTTTGCATCTAATTGAGTATTTTTCAGAACTGCAATCTTGAATTCTTTATCATTTAAGTCATATATTTCCATGTCTCTAAGTTTATTTTCTGGAGATTTTTTCATTTTCTTTCTGAGCTGCCTTGTTACCATGGTTGTTCATGGTATTTTATGGATTATTTCTCCTCCTAAGCATTTATGGGAATGAGCTCTGCAGCAGGTTGATAGGAAGAAGGTTTTGTTTTGTTGTTTTGTTTTGTTTCCCCAAATAGGTAGTGCTGGAGCATTATATTTTATCTTGCCCTGTTCTGGCTTCTCTTTGTGGAAGATTCCCTGTGAAGGTAGGTGACTCCTGTAGACCAGGTCGCCTTGGTCTCAGGGCACCTTCCCCACGGGAGAGTGTTGTGGGCGATAGGGTTCTTAGCCCCTGAAATCCCACTGCTGCCCCTGCAGCTGGATGCAAAGCTGTGTACTGCAGCAGTCCTAAGTGCCCCAGCTGAGATCAGCCATAAATGATGGAGGCAGGGTGGGCTGGGAAAGGTCACTGGTATGTTTATAGCTTTGTTCCCCTCCGAGTAATTGTGATTGCCAGACCACAGCTGCCTCAACTCTATATCTCCACCCTTGTTAGTGGGATTAGCCACAGTGTGTGTCTGCCATTCAGGAACTGTCTCTCCAGTTCTCAGGGCTATAGATATTCTGCTTTTTAACCCGACACTCACTATTACAGTTTCTTCTGAGGCCCACTGCTAGTTCTTTTGAGGGCCTGGGGGGCGAGCTCTGGGAGGGTGCGGGGAGGCGGCCAGACTCTGTGGCTTTGTTTTCTGCCTGGCATTGAGGGCTGCTAGACCACAGCTGTCACACTTCTGTATTTGGTCTCTGCCTGGAGGTGTCTTCCCTGATTGCTGGGTTCAGCTATATTACATGCTGTTCACTCCGGCAGGAATGCTCAGGGCTGCAGAAAGTGCACCTGCAGCCTGAATCATCTCCTCTCCAGAGACCTGTAGTGAGCTCTGAGCTGTGTCTGTGCACCCATCTTTGCTCTTCTCCCTTCTCTCCTCCCCTGTTTGCCCTGATTAGCCCACCTTCAGATGTTTCGGTGCGTGGATCTCTCAGACATGTTTGTGTGTTGCACAGGGATCCTTTGTTGAATTACAGCTGTTCAACTTGTTATAACTTCAAGGGGAGAGATCAAAGGAGACCCCTCATGTTGCCATGTTTCTGACTTGCTGTACATCTTAAATTTACACAATGTTACATGTCAATTATATCACAATAAAGCTGGAAAAAAATGTCAAGCCAGGAAATGTGATATAAATAAATCTTTTGGAATACTTTCTTGAATCATCTTAGGAGTAATATGAATGGAAACACCGTTTGCTTATTTTTAAATTTTAAAATATATATACAGAGGGTGCCAAAAGATGATACACATTTTAAGAAAGAATAAAAAAAAACTGTATTAAAATTACACTAATGGTAACCACTTTGAGGACCTCTTGTAATTGCAGAAGTCAAATGTGACTCGTATTCATCTTTTGTTATTGGTGTATATTAAGTATTACAATTTTAATAGATTTTTCCTTTCTTAAAATGTATATACTTTTTTTTGGCACCCTTTGTGTGTTCAATTAGATATATAATTGAATCATTTTTAAGATAATCAACTTAACAGCAAGTAATGTAAAATTATATGTTTATATGTATGCATATGAAAAATATATATGCATAAACTCACATTATTTTTAAGAGAATCAAATTAAGAACAATAACTGAAAAGGGAAATAATAATGAACTTTTGATAAATAAATCAAAATATAATAAATAATGTTGATTACATGGATTTCATATTTCATATTCCTGTCAAATGATATAGCAAGGAAACATTTCCATGGAAGAGTATGTCATATAGGTCATACCTTTTCATGAACTTTCTGGCCAGGTTCCATCCCTTCAAGATGTTCTGACTCTGTAGATCCCTCACTTGATGCCATTTTTCTTTGTATATGAACATTTTGTTCACGCAAGGCAACAATCTGTAAAATAAAAGCACTGTGCTTTTAAAATCTAAAATAGAGCATACAGAATAAAAAAATTGAATGTGGTTAAGAACTAATGAATATAAACAAATAATCAGAAAATAAATATTATTTTACTCATATTATTTGAAAAATTTAAAATGTATATATATTTTTAAATTTAGGTTAGCATTTTGAATAATATTTATAATATTTATAAGAATGTGAAATTTACTTAAAATACTTTCGAGTTTGAAAATGTATCTATCTAGTTGAAAACATATCTAAATCAGTGGCATGATCCATGTGTTATTAATTCAGAAATTACCTTTAAAATTAATTAATGAAATGTGATAAAATTTGCATTGGTCTGTACTTTTAAAGTATAAAAAGAAACATGAAGGAAAAGATTGAAGGCTGAAGGCTAATTATGAGCACATTCATTTACCCTACAGGATAGCGTATCTGCAATTTAAAAACTAGCAAACACACAAGCTGGACTTAAATAATATTGTGGCACCATCAAGGGTACTTAGAATTAAACTGGTTTCATTATCATTATTGCAATTATCTTAGCACAGCTAGTCCAAACATAGTTAATTTACAAAAAAATTCTCCTAAGGCAATTAATTCCTGCAAATTTGCAACTCAATTTACACACATAATACTTTCAACTAAGCAAGAGTTTCAAATAGTTGTAGTTTAACTGATCTTGGTGATATAAAATGTGTAAAATTATATTTCACCATTTTAAAAATGGTGCTTTAAAATATACAGTTGACCCTTGAACAACACGATTTGAACTACGTTGGACCATATATATGCAGATTTTTTTCAATAAATACTATAAATGCATTTTCTTTTCCATATGATTTTTTTAATTAAAATTTATTAGGGTGACAAAGGTTAGTAAATTTGCATAGGTTTCAGGTGTACAATTTTATAACACATCATCTTTATTTCAGATTGTGTGTTCCCCACCTAGAGTCAGTTCTCCTTTCATCACCATATATTTGATCCTGTTTACCCTCATCTACCACCCCCCTGCCCCCTTATCCTCTGGTAACCACCAGCAATCTCTCTCCTGGGTATCTACTCAAAAAATCTGAAAACACTTATCCGTAAAGATATATGTGCTCTGATATTCACTGCAGCTTTATTTACACTGGTCAAGACATGGAAACAACCAAAGTGTCCTTCAATAGATGATTGGATAAAGAAGATGTGGTATATATACACTATGGAATACTATTCTGCCATAAGAAAAGATGAAATATTGCCATTTGTGACAACATGGAAGGATCTTGAGATTATCATGCTAAGCAAAATAAGTCAGACAGAAAAAGTCGAGAACCATATGATTTCACTGATATGTGGGATATAAAACTGAAAACAACAAAGGAAGTAAACAAACAAATAAAGAAACAAAAAATCCATATGATTTTCTTTTCTCTGGCTTACTGTATTGTAAGAATACAGCATATAATACATATAACATACAAAGTATGTGTTAATCAAGTGTTTATGTTATCAGTTATTTCTGGTCAACAGTAGGCTTCTGGTCAACAGTAGGCTGTTATTAGTAGTTGTTTTTTTTTTAAGAATTTTTATTGGGGAATTGGGGGATGGGAACAGTGCTGGGGAATTGGGGGAAGGGGAACAGACAAGTTGCTGTC